CATTTCTTTACCCTACCACCTTTCTGGTGCTCTCAGCCCACACACTCTACTTCCACATCAGTTAAATTCCACCAGTGAGATGACAACCACTGTAACTAGCACTTAAGGAGCACTTATATCCTCGGCACCGTGGAATTGCTTCCTTAACCCTCCAAATGACCATGTTATAGCAAAGGATGAGCAGGTGCTCATTCACCTGCTTCAGGTCACACGACTGACTAGACTTGGAACCCAGGCCATCCAACACAGCCTAAACCTTTAACCACTGTGTTGACCACCTCTTGTTCAGTATGTGTTTATGTACTGAGCACCTACTGCATGCAGGTCCAGGCCAAAGGTCTAACGCACACCCACATGGGGCTGAACGCCTACTGCTTGCCAACCTGGGGTTGGGCGCCTCCTGGGGCTAATCAGGAGCTGTCTGCCTACTGAGCACTGGGCCAGGGTGTGCAGGGAGAGCTTAGAACAGAAAGTACACTATCATCCTAAGACCTACAAGAGCAAAAATAGGGATGCCTGGTTGGCTCAGCAGTTTAGCACTGCCTTCAGCTCAGGGTGTGATCCTGGAGACCCGGGATTGAGTCCCACGTCCGGCTCCCTGCATGGAGCCTGCTTCTCCCTCTGCCTGTGTCTCTGCCTCTCTCTGTGTCTCTCATGAATATATAAATAAAAATCTTTAAAAAAAAAAAAGAGCAAAAATAACGAAAAGTAACAGTAACCACAGCCCTGTGCATCAGGGACCTATGCTCTCATTTTAAATGTGCTATTTCAGCTAACACTCCCAGTCACTGTCAGAGGTAGGCACTGCCAGGATCCCCATTTTACAGATTAGAAAACTGAGGCATAGAGAAAGGGATGTTCTTGCCCAAGGTCACAAAGCACCCAAGAGACATAGTTGGGATGTGACTCAAGAGCTTTTCTAACTCTGGGCTGTTGAAATAAAGAAGACATCACACCGGGCTGGTTGGGGGCAGAGATGGGGAGGAGGAACTCTACCTGAAGGGAACTTCCAAAACCAAAGGCCCAAAGGTATCAGCCTGCAGGTGCACGGAGAAAGGTGTGGCCAGGAAGTGTGCAGGTGGGGACAAACTGCCTGGAATGCCAAGCGGACAGCCTGTGACAAATTCCATGGGCAGAGGGGAGCCAGAGAAGGTTAAGGAGCAGTGGAGTGACTCAGTTAGAGATGGCCTTAGGCAGAGTTACTCCAGTGATGGAACTACAGTGGATATAAGACAAGAAAGACCAAGGGCTAAGAGATTGCTGCAGGAAGGGGCAGGAAGTAAAGGGCAACGGACCTGTGTTACAAGTTTGCGCCTCTTCTGGAAGTAGCATGCCTGCCTCCCGACATGCGCACTGCTGCTCTTCCCTTAAGAAGCCACTGTCCCCAACTTTGTCTCCTGGTTTGGGTGGGGCTGTTCCTCCCGCACTCCCAGGGGTGGGCACTGATTCAGGCCTAGCCAGCCAGAGTCCCACTGCCTGGTCCAGGATGGGCACATGAACCCAGCCAGGGCAAGCAAAAAGTGTCAGTCTGGAAACTTCTGCTGAAGTCATTGGCAAAGGGTCTCCCTCTCCCCACCAGGGAGGGGGAAGCTGGGCCGGCTGGTGGGCATCCGCATCATCACTTGGGGAGAACATGCCCATGTCCCCAAGAAGAGCAATAAAGGAAGAAGGCAGAGCTTTGGGCAGCCTCACCTGCAGCTAGTACTTCCCCCGGGCTTTCTAACTATGGAAGCTACAGACTGCCATTTTGCTCAAGCTAATCTGCATGAGGTTGTTTCTCCCTCTGCACCTGCAAGCTCTCTGACCATCTCCCACGGACTGAGGTGTGGGGCAAGAAGCCAAGTGTGGAGGTGGTGATGGAGCAGGGAGTGCAGAAGGAGGGGGCCAGGTGCATCCAGCGCCAGAAGAGCCAGCGCAGAGCACAGAGAGCTCCAAATCCTGCCAGGAGAAACAGGAAGATGAGTGACCTTCCAGAAAGCAGCTGCAGTGGACAAGGAGAGGCCAGGCCCGGGGGCGAGGAGAGACGAGCAGGAGAAGCTTAGGCAGCGCACAGGCGTGGGAAACCAGGGTGTGTCAGAAAGAAGGCCAGAAGAGGGGCTGTCAGGGAAGAGAGAAAGCCCAGAAGGAACTTCCCGCCCCCAGTGCCAAGGGAGGGAGAGACCAGGTGCTGGTTCTGGCTTCCAGTCCCCCGCACACCTTATTAGATGTTTGGAAACAGGAGGGCTGGGCCACAGTGGGAGCCTGTCCTCGTGGCATGGGCCCCACAGGCTGGTCAGGACACCTGCCTGGGAATGAGCCCTCCCTAAGTGGGCGAGCATGTCTTCTGTAACCTGCAGACAACTTCCTGTGGCCTGACCAGAACCTGCTGCACCACTGCAGAAGCCTCATGGCTTGGGCATGAGAACGTAAACCACTTCCGGGGTGCCTGGCTGGCTGGGTCGGAAGAGCAAGCAACTCTTGATCTCGGGATCGTGAGTTTGAGCCCCACATGGGGTGTCGAGATTACTTAAATAAATAAAACTTAAAAAATTAATAATCTCAGCCCACTTTCTGAGAGAGAGGAGGCTGAGGATACGGGCCTTTGAGCCGCCCTGCCTGGATCCAAGCCCCGGCTCTGCTGCGTCCTAGCTGTGTGATGCAGGCACCTCACTTAACTTCTCTGGGCCTCGGTGCACTCATCTGTGGAAGGGGAACGATCTCAGTGATGGAGACAAGGCACGTCAAGCTCAGAGACTTATGTGTTATCAAGCTACTAGTCGCGTGCTGAGTCCTTTGTCACTGGGTTATGAGGACATAGCTGGGGGAAGGAACAAGGAGTTTTTCCAAGAGGAACAAGAACAGACCCAGCAGCCATAACTCGTCTATACATTTGTCCAACAGATGGCCGGGGAAGGCAGGCAGATTTCCAGCCAAAACAGACGGAGCCTTCAGATCCCACAGCCCATTCATAAGATCAACACACAGCAGGGAAAGCATTTTTAGTTCCCCTGCCAGGCACTCCCATCCCTGCCTGTTGGGGGGAGGGTCAGAGGAACACCCCCCTCCCCACCCCCTGCAAAGCCCAAGGGAGGAAGGAAGTCTTCTCTGACCGCACCAAGCCCTTCCAGCTTCGCCCAATGGCCAAGAGCATCTGTTCAGAATCTATTCTATTGACAGGATGCTCTTTCATCCCTGGGTCACCTTCTTCTACTTGGTGGTGAGAACAATAGCTTTAGAAGCAAAACCCAGTCTGGTAGGGGGAGGGGGTGTGTGATGGATGGTCAGGAGGAGGAAAGAAACTGCTAGTTTTCTGTCCTTGAGTTCAGCGAGGAGGGAAGCTGGCCTGTGAGACAAAGCCTCAGATCCGACAAGGCAAAAAATACTGCTGAAACTCCTAGATGTGCACCATCTAGGGGAAAAGCCAAGAGTCTGCATTTACTCTACTTGCCGAAGCATTCGCCACAAGCGGAGGAAGGGTAGGGATGGCCGAGATGCAGGGCTCCTGAGTCAGGGGCCTGAGTTCAAATCCAGAGCCATCGACTCTCCACACTTACGTGTGAGTTGTTATCGTACTTTACACATCTGATATTTTAAGCCAACCCTTTACAAAAGCAATGAGTGACTGCCTATTGAGAGGCAGCTGTCAGGGACACATTTTAATTGGGAGAACATTAAAAAACAAAACCAAAGCTTCGTACCACCCAGCCCATAGCAGACACTTCATAAATATTCTTTCAATTGGTCTAAATGCACAAAAATCACTTGGTTAAGGAAACAGATAGGGAAAGGAGCAGTCACATAAGCCATGGCACAATTTCGTACCTTTTTAGTTATTTCACAAATGACCGACCATGTAGTTTCGCATTGGTACTGTCCTGAGCGTTCTCCACGCACTGAGTCATCCGTCGTCCTCCAACAGCCTTCCAAGATTACAGGTAAGGAAACCAAGGCCCTGAGAGGTTAGGTAACTTGCCCCAAACTACACAGCTAGGAAGTGGCCACTCGGTGATTCAAACCCACCTTGCTGACTCAGGCAGGGTCCCTGCCCTATCCTCAAGGCTCTGCTGCCTTTGTCTGCACATCTGTTTTAAAACTAGGGACCTGGAGAGAGTTCATTCTCCAGTCTTGGCTCTGAAGGGTCCTATTACCACGGAGGCTGAGCCTTTTGCCTCTAATAAGGGGTCTGCGGTTACATACGCCATGTGTTCCTTTCTTTCGATGGCTTCACACACCCCGGGGAAGTGCAATTAGTTTACAAATCCTAAATATCTTGCTTGATGATTTCTTACATATGGACACATGTATGTACCCACCTCCCAGATGGAAACACGAGACATTTCCAGCACCCCTCCGCCTTCTGCGGGCCCCTCCCAGCCAGCGGCTATCTACTCCGAAATGGGATCACCATTCTGACTTTTCACACCACAGATCAGCTTTGCCTTTTCTACAGTTTCATGTAAGTGGCATCAGAGGGAGTGTTGTCTATCACACCTGGCTCTATGTTCTACAAAAAAAAAAAAAAAAAAAAACAACACCACCCATATAACCAGCACACTGACAATGGTCTTGGGAGAAGGGAGGATATAGATGACAGTTTCTTTCTCCTGCAATAAGCACCAGCATTGTTTTTATTTCCGCTCACTGGCAGATGAAAGGGGGTGGTGGGGGACGCTGAGCACAAAGTTGGAACTACACTGAGTGGACCCTTGGGGAAAAAAAACCCAGTGACCCGCGGTGGTGGTGAGGGGGGGGGGGGGGCAGAGGAGCTGTCTCTCCTGGAGAGCGCAGCGTGGAGCACCGGAGTCAAGTGGTCACCTCTGGTGGCTCTGGATGTCCAGAGAGGGCCACACTTTGTGAGGCTTTCAAAACCTCAAGTCTGGTCCCTCCAGCGCCAGAGGCACCGGGGGCGTCCAGGCTCCTCCCAGTTTGGCCTCTGCAGCTCCTCACCACCCCCGCCCGCCCCTTGCGTAGACGATTTCCCAAAAGATCAGGAATTCCCCGCAGAAGGCGCGTCTCCCTACCTGTGCACTGTTGGATGAAGTCCTGATAGTCCGCTCCCTGGTCCCCGGGGACGATGGTGGCGCCGTCATACTTAAAAGTCACCCTTTGGATTGGGAGGAGAACACACACACACAGAGATCAGGGAAGGTGCCGCACGGTGCCGAGCCCCAGCAGGACGGCCCAGAAGATGCTCGGGCCGCGCAGCAGCAGCGCGGGCTCGCCGCGCTGTCCAGGGTTAGGGCCGTCCCGCCCGAGGACGGCTCGGCGCACCCGGGCCTCGGGGCACCGGGCGGCTGGGGAGCGGGGCTCGGCGACCGGGGGAAGCTCCTCACCAGATGACGGCCGAGCCGTCGTCGCGCACCAGGTTGTACGCCTCCCGGCAAGCCTCCTTGTCGATCTTGGTGGCCATCGCCGCAGGCCCGCAGCGGGGACACCCTGCCCCGAGCGACCGAGCGCGCCCCGGGCCGGCCGCAGGGATCGGAGCGCGGCGGGGACGCGGAGGGCGGGCGGAGGGCGGGCGGCGGCGGCGGCGGCGCGGGGAGCGGGCGGCGGCGGCGGGCGCGGCGGCGGCGGGCGCGGCGGCTGCTCCGAGGGCGCACCGACCGCGCGCCGGGACCCAGGCGGCTCCGCCACGCCCCCCTCTGCCCATTGGCCGCCGGGCCGCGGGGGCGGGGCGTCCCGGCTCGCCGACGACCAATCCCAGCCCGAGGGGGTTGCGCAACTTCGCGGCGGGGGCTGGAGGCGGGGCTTTCGGCTCCTCCCTCCCCTCCTCCCTCCCAGCCCCCTGCTCGGGCTCCCCCTCCCCCCATTTCCTCCTCCCCAAGCCCTCTTTCTCCTTTCCCTCACCCTTCTCTACTCCCTCTTCCTCGCGTCTCCCCCTCTTTATCCCTCCCTCCACCTCTCCTTCCCTCCCCCTCCTTGCTCCTCCCACTTCCCTAACCCCTCTGCCTCCTCTTCTCTTACCTCCCTCCCTTCCTCTTACCCTTCACTCTTCCTTTATTCCTCTCCCCATCATCTCCAACACCAACCGCATCTCCTTCCTTCCTGTCCCTTCCTCCTCAAGCTCAGTTCTTGAGCATCCCTTCCCCCTCCTCCCCTCCTCCCTTCCTCCCGCTTCCTCCCTTCTTCCCCCTCCACTTCTCTCCCACTCCTTGCCTCTCCCTCCTCCTTATTCCTCCTCCCCTCCCTTCCCCCTCCTCCCTCCCTCCTCTTCCCTCCCCCTCCTTCCTTACTCTCTTTGTCTCTCTCCCCCTTCTCCTCTCCCCCTCCTCTTCTCCTCTTCCTGCCTTCCTCTCCTTCTCTCCCCCTCCTCCTCTCTCCCTCTTCTTTTCCCCCTCCTCCCTCCTTGCCTCTCCCTCCTCCTTATTCCTCCTCCCTTCCCCCTTCTCCCTCCCCCTCTTCCCTCCCCCTCCTTGTCCCCCCTCCTCCTCCTCCTCTCCCCCTCCTCTTTTCCTCTACCTTCCTCTCCTTCCCTCCCCCTCCTCCTCTCCCCCTCTTCTTTTCCCCCTCCTCCCTCCTTGCCTCTCCATCCTCCTTATTCCTCCTCCTCCCTCCCCCCACAGCCCAATCTATGGAACTGCAGAGCTCTATGCCTCCAACAGGAGAGGGGGGACCTCCAAGTGGGTGACTTCATGCAGTCAGCCAAAGGAGACTGCCCCCACCCCCGCGTTTGACTCTGGTTTCTAGGTGGGGAGGAATTGGAAAGAATTAAGCATTTCAAATAGGAGGGGATACAAAGTGGATGGCTTCCAAAAGGCTGGTGGGATCACTGTTTACTTTGTATTCCGGTTATTTGCATTCACGTCTTATCTCCCCCTTTGGGTTCCTCTGAGTGCAAGAGCTGACTCACTGTCTTCCTCCCTCACTGACTCACTTCTTCATTCTTTATCCTGCCATTCCACAAAGACCACTTACAGTGTTAAGGCAGGTAAAAAGGCTAGACCGGAAACGAGGCTTTAACTACACCCAGCCCCACCAGTTCCTAACTGTGAGCCCTTGAGCAAGCCTCAAATACTCTGACACTACTTTCCTCAAATGTGATAAAACTAGTACTATCATCATGGGTTTATCTATCGTTTAACTGAAACATACATAGAAAAAATATATTGGATATTCAGTAAAAGATCATTGTTGGTTATTAAGTAATTAAGATAAATCCTAAACAGAAATCCAAAAAGTCAGGGATGCTGTTTAATTAATAATAAAATTCGCAGTGGCAAACAAAGAATCAATCAACCAGTGGGTGAGTAAATGGGGAGGTGGATTCGACCACATTCTGAGAAAAATAGGAGCAGGTGTTGCTATAAATAAAAAGACAAAAACAAATTCTGGTTTGAAGCAGCCCAAAGCAGTTCTTATCTTACCCCTTGATAAAGGTAATGATACAACTGGCCATTGGAATGAAAAGCAAGAATGGATTCGTACCTCACACCCATTAATCAGGATAAATCCAAAAACATCAAAAAAAAAAAAAGCATCAAAGATTTAAATGGGAATAAAAGAAACCACAGAAGTTATGGAAGAAAAACATGGGAAGCTCTTTTCACAAGTCTGGAGTGGGAAAGGTCCTTTAGCCATGACTCAAAGTCCAGAACTTAGAACAAGAGATGGATACATTCCAACATGTAAGAAGTCTTCTTTAAGAAAAAATTTAAAAAGGATCTCATGCAAAGCATAAAAACAAAACACTAAGCAGTACAAAGTATTTGTAACCCAAATCACAAAGAATTCATGTTGCCTATATACAAAGAAGCCAATCTGAAACAAAAACAAAATGGGCAAGGGCCACCACCAGACAGACCAAATGGCTCTTAAACATATGTTCACTCTCAGCCCAAAATAAGGCAGGACTGAGATACCTTCAAAATAAATTAGTAGGTCGGCAAAGATCAAAGTTTGACAAGCCTACTTTACAGTGAGATTAGGAAGACCCAGGCTCTCTCATGCCGGTGGGAGAGTGCAGGTGGGCAACACCCCCAGTGGAGGTGGTGATATCCAGTGAATTTATGAATCTCTGTGCTCTTGACCTGTCAAGTTCCCCTGGAGGTCAGCGGTGCCCAGGCTGGCTGAACACTGGAGTTACCTCGATGCCCTGGCCTCACACTCAGAGATGTTTTTAAAAATATTTTTTTTAATTTTTATTTATTTATGATAGGCACACAGTGAGAGAGAGAGAGGCAGAGACACAGGCAGAGGGAGAAGCAGGCTCCATGCACCTGGAGCCCGACGTGGGATTCGATCCCGGGTCTCCAGGATCCCGCCCTGGGCCAAAGGCAGGCGCCAAACCGCTGTGCCACTCAGGGATCCCCACACTCAGAGATTCTGATGTAATTGAGCTGAGGTGTGGCCTGGGGGTTGGAATATTTAAAGGTCCCCCTAGGTGGTTCTGCTGCCAGCTGGGGCTGCAACCACTGCTATACTCAGGCTCACATGTGTGTAATTCTTTTCAAGGTTATTCACTGAGCTTTATTTCCAGTAGCAGGAGATTAGGAGCAACCTGAGTGCCCATCAATAGGAGGACTAGAGAAATAGATGATGACACAGGCCTGCCAAGGAGAACCAAGGCACCTGTGAAAGAGAGATGGGGGAGGGGAAGCTGGGGGGTGGCTTTTCTGTGGACTAATGTGGAACATTCTATCAAATACATCATGAGCACGCAAAGCAACGCACAGAACAAAATGTTCAGCATACCTTTTGATGTTGCTACCACTTGGGTAAAATTGGGGGTGTGAATAGATATTTCCATTTGTTTATACTTGCATAAAAACCTTTGGAAATGCACACAAGAGAAAAGTAACAGCCACACCTGTGATGGAGGTGAGGCTGGAAACCAGGCACAAGGAAGGGGATAGAAGGGAGATTTCACCAAATGCCATCCTATTTATTCCATCCCGTTCCTGAACCATGTGATGCATTATCTATTCAGAACATATTGAGTAAACCACCACCACCACCACCCAACGCCCCAGGAAAGTGGCTCCCATCCTGAATAGACTCCACAGCTCAGCATCACTGGAGGGAGCACCTTGCCTGGATTTCGCCTCTAGCGCGGTTCTTTCTATTCGTTGCTGCTCTCGCCCCCTACTGGACAGAAAATGTAAAGGGCTGGTTTTCAAGGGAAGGGTGATTCTGAGCACCCTGAGGTCAACTTGCCCAGCTAAGGCAGAAAAAGACACTGGAACTAAATGCAGTGTCAATATTGGTTTAAATCGAAATCCACACAATACATAAAGCAATCTAATTCAAGTTTCTTTCTTTTTTTTTTTAAGATTTTATTTATTCATTCATGAGAGACACAGAGAGAGAGAGGCAGAGACACAGGCAGAGGGAGAAACAGGCTCCATGCAGGGAGCCCAACATGGGACTCGATCCTGGGACTCCAGGATCACACACCCCCGGGGCCAAAGGCAGGCACTAATCCGCTGAGCCACCCAGGGATCCCATAATTCAAGTTTCCTTAGCAATCAATAAAAATATTTGACACTTTGTGTAATGAACTGTGTCAAGAATTGAGGAAATGGTATCCATTCATTCATTCATTCATTCATTTATTCCTGGCACTGGGCCTATTATGTGTCCAAGGGGAATCACAAACTCACTTGCCTGTAGAGGGCAGACACGTAATTTATGTGAGATAAGACGCAATCAATACGGAAAATTTTTTCTGGAGGTGATCCCATCCATTCGGCACCCCCACCCCCAACCCCCAGACTGTGAGTTTCATCTTCAGAACAGACTGGTCCTCAGCTCTGCCCTCATTGCCACGCAGGAATCCTAGCTCGGCAGTGCCAAGCCCTCTGGTTGTCTCAGAAAAGCAAAACAAGGACCTGGGTGGCACAGTGGGTTGGGTGTTGGACTCTTGATTTTTGCCCGGAGTTGTGATCTCAGGGTTGTGGGATGGAGCCCTGTGTGGGGCTCCATGGTCAGCACAGAGTCGGCTTGAGACACTGTCTCTCCCTCTGCCTCTGCCCCTACCCTTGCTCATGGTCACTGTCACTCTCAAATAAATAAGTAAATATTTTTAAAAGAAAAGAAAAACATCTGGACCCCTTTGTGAAAGCTCTTGATTCTTAAACTTTGGCAATAAAGATGTTACATACAAGAGCTACCTTTGTGCAAATTCAAGCTAGACAAGACTCCCGTGGCCCTCACGGGACTTAAAGTCTAGGAGCAGAGCAAGCAGCGTGAACACTGTTGATGTTTGTTAACAACAGAAAATTCTGTTCAGATAGGCTTCCAAGGTGGAGGGCAGGTAATGGCTCAGAGACTGAGAAACCCACAGCCAAGGGGGCTTCAGGTGTGTCATGATCAGGGTTTTATCTCTTTCTGAATGTTTCTGTTTAGCCTTCTATGTGCATCAGTTTCAGCTTCAGGTGTCTGTCCCTCTGTCTGGCACAGCCCACCCAAGCCCTGCAGAGCTGACCTCGGCTTCAGACCTCCAGGGTTACCCTCAGAGAAGCTTTCCCCAGCACCCTGATATAAAGAGCCCCCTCTGTAATGTCCCCTGGTCACTCTCTATCATATAACCCCCTTTTGGTTTC